GAGCCGACGCTCGCCGCAACAAACAGTCCACCTGAACGGAGAGCTAGGCAATGTGTGTGTGTATGGTCCGGTAGGCCCGAGGGGCGAAACTTTTAGGTAGGCGACGAAACTTTTTGCGCAAGGCGGGGGCCGTGTACAGGCTGTTTAAACTGCTTAACCCAGATCGCACGCAACCAATAGCACGGATGTGGCTGCTACGGGGTTCCCCGTAATACTATAATGACAATAAAAAAGGCCTGAAAGGCCGTCCTGTCCAGATTTGACAGGTAATTGAATTGGTTGGACAAAAAAAAAAAAAAGAACAGCATGGGTGATGATGATAGTGGTAACAACTTAAACAATGAAAAAAAAAAAAAAAAACTTTAATAAAGCACAATAAATTTGAATAAAACATTTGAAATGATAGACATGACAATCATTAAAAAAACATGACTCGGTAGAAAGCAAAACCTTTTGACTCGACTCCTGACAGTGTAGGGTTGGACGGAGACAGCCATCTTCCGAACAACATCTAGTCCAGCAGAACTGCAGGCCGATCACACCACTCTCGAAATGTGCAAAATGAGAACGAACTTCCCCCTAGAACACATGGCCAGATGCACCGGCCACATTTTTGTCTTTTTCACATTTGGAGAGTGGTGTGGCAAGGCCCAACATCATCGACTCCAGCAGAACTGCTCTACCACCGGCGTGGCAGGGGTCAAAGACCCCACAAAGACCCCACCCACCTCCCACCCACCGGCCCCCTCGCGATTTACCACAGACCACTCCCCAATCTGCATCAGGCCCCTCAAACTTGAAAGAACTTCACCGCCCTCAAGGAGGAAGCCTGTACGGAGTGATGCTCACACAACCATCCCATAAAACCCTTTTGCAAACTGAATATCTGTGAAGGTCCCCGGCCTCGGTTCTTTCGTGTTGTTAATAAATGGAAGAAAAGGTCAGTAATGGCCAAACCGCCGACAGAAAAACAAAACATACATGCAAACTCTAAAGGACAAAAAAGTGCAAAGAAACCCTATCTCGGCATCTCAGAAAAGGAATCATTCATGGGCCTTCAAAAGAGGATGTCAATCCACACACTGTCAGGAATGTTGTTGGTAAAGCAGTGTCGTAACTAAACCCTTCTCCTCAACGTATCAACAGCCCTTGATGTAGCCAGATGCATTCAAAAACCAGGTCACAAAATAAGCACGTGAAAACAGCACAGAAACAAATGCTCCGAGTCTAAGGGTCTCGTTAGACACTCCTAAGAGAATCCTAATTTGTTTAGGACCAGTCCCAAAGGTTTTTTAGGATTTCGTGCGGAGTGGTTGCACACGATCCTAAAAATCGTCTTTTAGGACTCGTCCTAAAAGTTGTCCCGCGGCCCGTTTTATATGCGTATACGCGGCCGCGTCGTCGATGTCCGTCCGCTCGTAGGGTGGTGTCCGTGGTACACAGCGCGGTAGGCCGTCGGCGTGTGGGTGTCTTCGGCGGGAAGCGCGCGTTTCGTATAGTTCGAAAATTCGAATTCAAATTTTCGCGGAGGGGCGGGCTGGGGGGGTCGGTTCTGCCTGGCGCAGGACTGGCAGGCGACGAAAGACGTCCGAAAGACGGCGTTGGCGAACCTTTCGCCGAGAGTATTCATAAGTGGCGGCTGCGCGAGTGGTGAGCAAGCGGGCGCATGTCGGACGGCGGCGCAGCTTGTCCTCCTCCTCAGCTGGGCTATCTTCCTCCATTGTCCGCGAGCGTGTGCATATTGACGTCAGGCTTCCGTGTTGTCTTCCACCATCGTCGACCATTGGCGTGCGCGGTTTCATCCGTCGACGAGCACCAGCGGGCGCAGCTTCGTGTACGACGGGCGTAGTCTTCAACTGCTAACGTGGAGAGCAGCGTCCTCTTCGGTCGGCTCGGGCTTGCCTATTCTCCTGTGGCGGCGGCGAGCAGCAGCGACGTGCTCGGGAGACGTGTGCGTGGTGTCGTTCCTCATCACGGAGCAGCGGCCGCATCTTTTGGTCCCTGACGCGTGGCGCACTGTGGCATAGTTGGGCGCGTGGCGCCTTCGGCCGGTCCAACGAGCGAAGTGTTTGGCAGGCTGTCAATGAAGCGGGCGTTGAACGGAGATGGACGTTTGCGGACGCGGCGACGGTCTGCGTGAAGAGGAGAGAGAAGCCGTGGCGATGGCCGTGACAGCTGTCGTCTTGAATAGCATGAGCGAAATGTCGTCCTGCAGCCGCGACATGCGTTTGCAGCTTCGTAAACGGAGAGCGCTCTTGCAGAGCGCTGTGGAAGTGTCGGATTGCGTGGCGACGTGCGAAGCTGTAGTGCAGATGTGTTCCGCTCTCGACTCTGGCGTTTTCCCACGCCAGACACCGCGTTGGTGGATCAAACGATGCACTGACGGGACATGGGAGGACCTACGCCTGTGTGACGACGCCACAGAGGACTACTACAAGGAGAAGCTGCGTATGTCGAGGGCGATGTTCGGCCAGATTGTAGCCGCCTGCGCCGTGCACGTGGAGAAGATTGTCACGCACTATAGGATGTCGCTGCCAGTCGAGCAGGTGATCGCTTTCGCGTTGTACAGATGGGCGTCAGGGGAAACGTACGAGAGTGGGACGTCAGCCTTCGGTATCGGCAGGGCGACCGGCCTGCAGGCCGTCCGCGACGTCACTGCGACGCTGCTAAACGCCTACCCCGACGCAATCAAGTGGCCTGTTGGGCGTAGACGTGCGCAGATTCTACGCGCGTTCCGGGATAAGGGTTTCCCGAACTGCTTCGGCGCCATCGATTGCACCCATATCTACATTGACAAGCCAGCAGGAGCACCGTCCGTCAACTACTACGACCGCAAACAAAAGTTCTCCGTCCAAGCGCAGGTCGTCGTCGATTTAGATTTGCATATCCTGGACATCCACGTCGGATATCTGGGAAGTGTCCACGACGTCCGTGTACTGCACAATTCCCATATGTGGAGGCGTGCGGAAAGCAGCGACCTTTTCGATGCACCTCCGGAGAATCTCCAACACGGTGTGGTTACGCGAGGTTACCTACTGGGCGACAACGGCTACCCGGTTGCGTGTCCATGGATCGAGGGTGCTATTTGGGGTGGGAGGGGGGGGCACGAGGGGTTTTGGTGGGGATAGGAGGGGTATAGGTGGGGATTAGAAACTTTGAAGATTTTTATCTTTTTTTATACTAGCTCAAATGAGCCAGAATTTTGGTGGCATACACCTTATGCAAGGTAGGAACCACATTATTTTTTTCAAAAAAAAATAAATATATATATATATATATATATATATATATATATATATATATATATATATATATATATATATATTTCTTTTTTTTTTTTGCGCTAGGTCGGACAACCCTTGTCCGGTCCGAGACCGTCCGACGTCCGACCAGACGTCCGGTCGGACAACCCAGGGGTCTCGGACGTCCGGTAAAACAACCTAGCTATAGAATGATTATTTAATTTTGGGAAATTTTTCTGTTGAAGCCTGTCAGACGACATGGTGTAAGGAGAAGACTCCCCGCATGTTGTGATCTGACTGGCTGTGAAGGAACTTGCGAGGATCGATATGACTTTCCTTGGGCGATTAGCCCAAACTCTTTCTTCACCCCCTTCTATCTCTACCCCACGCTTCCCCATCTTCTATTCTCGTCTTCGCAACTACTATAAAACCCGCAAGCGCGTCCGAAAATCTCTATCTCAACCCATCTGCCAAGTTCAGGGAAGTCATGGCTAGGGGATGTGAAAGTAGCGAGTTGGAAAGTCCTGACGAAATGACTGTAGTGTACGCAAGGTTGTGCACCGGGTGGCCACGATGAACAATAGGATCTGGGCAAGTTGGTGCAAAATCTGAGTTGGCGGGTTGGCGATCGCTGTGGCTTGGAGGTTGGTACGTGGTGGTCGGGATCATCAGTACCTGAGTAAGAAGGGGGTGTGTGTATTAGTAGTTGCATGGCCGGGGGGCCATTATCAGAGAGCAGAAGGCCGGTGTGCCTTGATTTTCGGATGTGTCTTCCTTTGGTTCTCAAAAACTAAGTTCACGGTGAAAAGTCGGTTGTTCCCCCTCAAGCTTGTCTGTATGATCAAAGTTTTTTTTCTTTCTCTCTCTCTCTCTCTCTCTCTCTCTCTCTCTCTCTCTCTCTCTCTCTCTCTCTCTCTCTCTCTCTCTCTCTCTCGTTCCTTTGCTTCTCTCCACCTAATAGATGCCAAAATGATTTGATGCTTCACTGGTCTTCCTCGTCCCTGTTGAATTCAATCGAATCGTGCAAGAACAAGCATAGTTGAATTAAAGGGACTTGTAAACCTGGGTGACCCGATCGTTTCACTTTTCTATTTATGTGTCCCTTGACAACTAATGATTCGTATAAATGAGATATGTCCCATATATGCATCGATTGGGCTAACTAAGCTGAGATTCTTGTGAGATTATGTGAATACATGCTCGCCACTCACTCAATGAATGATGATTGTTGCCTTGATTGGATCGAACTCGCATTTGTTTTCTGATCGGTCCGCCTGATGGATAAAAAGCAATAGAGAACGTAGCATTGCGACTGTTTATTTCTTTGATGGAATAACTGGTTGAGTGAACTTATGTGATCTGTTTTTCTTATGCCATATGGACCGACTGGGCACCGACTTCCCGTATCCTCACCGCGACAGTTCTCATATAACGAGGAAACGACACGTGTATGTGAGTGGGACGTGCGGGAAGCCATCGCCAAGATCGGCGGACCCTATTATTTTCCTCCCCAAACAAGGTGTTCAGGGTTCGTAGGTGTTGGTTTTGTCATTATCAATAACCACTTTCCCCCATACTCTTTATTACTGTTGTTTAACGAACTGATTGGCATCCCGTGGACAACAGTAGCGCCTCACCGACTCAACACTCCGTGTAGCGATTGTCGCCGCACTGAGCGCTATCGGGAGAGGGGGTTCCGAACACAAGGAAAAACTACCAAGCTGAGATCATCCACATCGGATTCCGATCTCTATAGCAAATGGCGATGAGACTTTATTCGAAAATGAGATCCCATGTGTGTACCCTCGCCTTTCCGTTCAAAAAAAACGACAAGTAGCCCGCATGGAAGTACAAATATGTTTTTTGGATTAAGCGAAGATTTGAAAACAGCGCGCGCCATTTCTTTCCACGCGAAGATTTGAAAACAGCGCCCTGTCTCACCCCTCATTTTCTACATGTGTGTGATCGATCACGCCCTTTCCACCTTCTGCCCCATCCTCATCATCCGTGGTCATGTCCTTAAGATTGCGAGAACGTTGAGACCCCTCTGCATTCCCCCCATCCCCGTCATCCCCTGTGGCCCCTCCCTGTGGTGTTGTTGTACAGTGTGCATCACCTTTGCTAGTGCATGACGGCGGATGCAACGACATTCCCGTGGCGTCCATCCCAACAGCGGACTCCGACTCCATCTCTGATCTCCCTCCCATTGCGGCACCTGTCGCGAGGAGACTCCCGTATGTGGCGCCCGCATCCGACGGCTTGTCGAGTGACACATGTCCACCTTGTGATGTATCCCCCGTTTCGACAGAGATTGCTATGATGGGCTCTTTGCCTGCATACGTGTTCCCCACCGCTGGCAAAGGAGGCTTCAAGGCGGACGTGGTCCTGACATCATCCCTTTGTTCACCCTTAGTGATCCCTGCTGCCGCCTCGGACACAAGAGCGGCATCTTCTTCGGGGTCCACCTCGATGCTCTCGGCCGCGGGGGTGCGGTCGACCTTCCAGTCGATTGATCCGCGCGAGGGGCTCGTCTGCAGCTCGTAAAACTTGTGCGTGTACTCCAACTGCTGAGTGGCTGGCAAGGCATTGAACAATTGTTTCGCCTTTGTTGTGATGGAGTTTTCGCTTTCCCCGGGGTTCTCTTTCCGCACGCGGTATAAAATTGCTTGCTCCGTCGTTTTCAACCAGCCGTCCTTTCCCATGAGGGGAAACGGTCTCCAACCCTTCACATACTTCACCGCCATCTTCCACTCCCCACCTTGGATGCATGGCTGGAAAATGTCGTCATGCCAAATGATATCATGGCCCCACTTGTCCTCCCCAGTGGGGGTGTGTTTGTCCTCCAAGAAACACATAGTGTCTGGGTCCGCACAAAAGTCATGAGGAATAGGATCGCCCGGCGCCAGCTTCGTTGTCTGAGCAGGAATATCAAGCTCATCATCCTCACCTTCTTCCATAGGCGTACACGCAACCCGGTCCACCATCGAGGACACACTGTTCGCGGGTGGCGGGTTCGAGCATCCCTCTAATCGACCCGGTCCATATTCCTTGTCGTCGTGCTCCATGGCAGCAGACTGCCCACGCCACCCGGTTGCATGGGTGTCATTTCCAATGTTGAGGTCGGAGTCCGATGAGTCTTCCTCGCTGTCGACGGGGTTAAAACCTTCACCCGATTTAGCGAGGTCTGCATAGTCCTTGAACGTGAGTTGATCTTTGTGAAGATCAAACTTCAAGATCTCGCATCGAGCAACGAATGTTTTGAAGGCGCCAGTTAGAGCACCGTGATAATGTTTGAGGGCCTTTGTCACCTTGGCTTTCTTATATATATATCTTCCGTCAAGACGTCCCTCCGGTGTATCACGGAACAGGTATTCCCACACCTTCAATCTCTTTGGTCCCAACTTGTGGTACATATCCCTGTTGGTGCGGTATGTGGCACACGGCTTCTCGAACCGGCACCCAAATCTCTCCTCCTTGACAAGTATGTTGATGAACTTTGTCAAGTATGCAATGTCCTTGGCCGACTCGTCGCAGACAATGACATTATTACTTGCATGCAAGAACTCTCATACAAGACTCGCGTGCGCCCTACCCAGTAAAAGGACACCTTCCGCCTCTCCGATGAATGAACTGCACAACTTCCGCAACTTTCAGATTCTCGCTCCCAAATCGAATACACAACACTTTCGTCGCCTTCGATGCCACCATGTTTTCCGTGACACTTCCCGAACTTATCCTCCACAACATGCACTTCGGTGAGATCATTGAGAAGTCGGGGCGCGACAGTTACTTTTTTCAGATCCCCTCCTTCAGCGCGCAGCTCGATGACCATCAAGTCCCGACTCGTCATAGCGATGTTGCCGTACCTTGTTACGTCACTCGATGGCCTGTCCACAGGTTTCCAGGACCCAGGGATAAGTTCGATGTCCTCCCAGCGAAACAAGTGACGCACGACATCGCTTTGCGACTTCTGCGGTGCAAAGAAGAAAAGGACCCAATTCGGACCACAACACTTCGCCATCATTTTGTACAACGCATCGAAGTTCTGCGAGGTCCATGCACTGCTGAAATTTGTCGCCGAGATGTTGACGATGGCGTCCCTGCATGTCATTTTTTGCGCGGAGGCGATGACGTCGTCGGGCGCTGCCAATACTTCCTTTGTCCGCATGCATACCGGAAGCAATGTCGTCTGCCTGCCGAGTTTGTGCGAGACAAGATGACGTGCACTGGAGGCGATTCGTTTCACCTCCGCTCGAAGCAAATCGAGCTTATCGATCACAGTGTATATAAACACCTTGAAGTGAAACGGAGCCTCCTTGTACATCACTTCTGTTGGCCCCAAGCCCGCACCTTGCCTTGCCTCCTCCACTCCTCCAAGTCGTCGAGGGACCGTCTTCACTTTGTTGCTATGCAGCTTCTCTCGTTCCTTCTCCCATTCAGCTGCGCGTAGCCCGCTCCGTGCATACCTCTCTTCGAGGTCCTTGTACGACATGAAGAGGTCGTCGTTCCGTTCCTCATCACCCATTCCCTCGGCGCGGAACACGACATAGTTGAACATGCGAATCATGTATCTCTCTTTGGGCATAATGTCGAGGAGGCACTCTGTGTTCACCCGCGAGGTGTGACTTTTACATTTGTTGCCACCACTTTCCCCTTCATGAGCAGGAGTAGCGCGACTTCTCGCTCACGACATTTCATGTCCCCCAAGTTCTTGAAGTATGAAGGACACAAATCCTTTCAGGACACGGTGGAGCCTTTGGGACCATATCTTGCATATATGTAGTGGTACAACGACCTTTGTCCCTTGCTCTCGTCGGTGTACGGGACGGGCAGGCGCCCCTCCATCCTCCCCGGCATGTCAAGAGGGATCTTGCCGTCGCCGATTGGCAGCTTACCCTCCTCGAACATCGAGAAGAACCTCTCCACCAGTGGCCAAACTGCGACGGTGGACGTGGCGAGGTTTATGTACCCCCGGAGTTTATTACTCCAATCTTTACTGTATTCATTGTCCAGCGCCTGTTTCACAAACGCCTTGTCGCACGCCTTCCCCATGCAGGCCCTGAGGAAGTTTTGTCACTTTTTCTGGTGCGCCACAACGTCCGCATCCTTGTCGTTGACCTTAGCTTTGGGGGGCTCGATTCTGTCGTTGTCGATCCACCACTGCCTCATATCACACACAACGTCTTGGAATGATAGCATTATGGCGCGATTCTCCCGTGTGTTGTCAAAGGCGGAGACATTGAAGTACCCTCATGTTTGGTCATTGTCGAAAAAGACGACTCGCACTTTAGAGTACGCGCGGAGGCCATAGACTTTGACTACGGCCGAGTCCTTTTCCACCAACCGTTTTATGGCCTCAAGGGTATGCTGACCACAGACTGCGTACCAATCGAACTCTGTAGAGTCTCTTTGGAAGAACTCGTCTGGCGTGATCTGCCTTCCCTGCCCGTCGACGACGTCGTTGGGGTCAACTGGCGCAAGAACAAACTCAGGTCTATCCCACGTCCCCGGGTCAGCAGTGATGGAGCTTTCTATGACATTCTCGATGCCTCTCACAATGTTCTCAGACAATGAGCAGTGGTTGTAGAGGATAGGCTCACGGGGAATGCGTTTGACTCTTGTGACGTCGACGTTAACAACATGGACGTCTTGCATGGAAAAGCCTTGCTCGTCGTATTCGAGAAAGAAACTTTGTGTTGTGTTGAGGGGCGCAGCGTGCTGAACGAGGTCGTCAACGTCTTCGGGCATGCGAGGCCCCGCCCCCTCGCCCTCATCCCCCGAGTCCCACAGCTCATGTGTCCTGGCCCTCTGCAAGCCTTTCCTATCGATGCCACGAACGCCGTCACGACTGCCACTTGCCCCCCTCCCGCCACCTTTCCCAGGAGCCCGCGTTTCCTGGAATGCAGTCAACGCTCCGCGAGCCTCGTTGACGGCGTCAGCCCTCGCCTGTTTCGTTTGACTCGCAGGAGAGGTTGACGCTTCTCCCCTCTTCCTCTTTTCCCGTGAGGCATTTTTGTCTCTTCCATCCCTTGCCTGGTTATGCGACTGCGACACCCCACGGGAGGTCCCAGGCTGGTCACCAGCACCATCCACGTCAGCGCCGCCGTAGGCATCAACCCCACGGCACGCCCGCGAATCGTTGTCGTCGCGAGGGCGCTTACATTAGGAGGAGCGAGTGTCGTCAAGTCCCTCACCACCAATGTCTCTCTCATTGTCCATCTCATTGTCCTCACCGTCAGCATCTCCTTCCTCACCATCGTCCCCCTCCTCACCACCGCCCTCCTCCTCTTGGCCCTCGCATTCGTCCTCGCACCTGTACCTCCCCGGGGACGATGTTGGGGATTAGCCAGGCGGCGCAGAGCTCCGTCGTCGTAGTCTGTGGCCTCGCAGGACTGCTCGGCCGCATCACGACCTTGCCGATCCGAGGGCGGAACCGGAGCGGGAAGAGCCTGGACAACCGCAGCCGACGAAGACGGCGCAGTCGCCAACTGCTTCCTCTTTGCACCCGCTCTGCCCGACTGATCCTGGCGCCGTTTGGGGCCCGCGTCAATCGGCACGAAAACACGGTCAACATGCTGGGCAGCAGGCAACCTCGCAAACTGTTCCCTGTATCGCATAACGGCAGTCGCCAGCTGCTCCGCCGGGCTGTTGAACTGGACGAAAGGCCTGCTGAGCATGATAGCGCTGTCGACGACGGGCAGGGACCCAGTCACGCGGTAGCCATTGGTTTTAGAGAGGAACTTTTCTGGATCTAGCATTTGAAACTCCGTTCCGTTCCCGCGCACGTCAAACACTATCATCGAGAAAGCCTTTACCCCGTATCCCTGGAAGAGTTGAAGGTCAAGAGACACCTTCTTGTCTTCCTTGACCTAATTTTTCCCCTCTCTGTCATAGACAGACATAAGGAAGAAGGTCCTAAACTTCCTGTCGTCGTAGTTAATCCTCCCCGCTTCCAATTTCTCCACCCCTCCGCAGGAGTACCAACTCTTGTTGTTGTCGTCGCTCAAGAAGACAACGACTCCACAACCCGATGTATGAAGGTCACCGACCCAATCAAGAGCCCAGGGTTTGTCGTTGTAGAGCTTAGACCTCCCGTACGCACGACTGGCAGTGCTAGAGGCCGAAGCTGATTTTCCTGAAGGGAGTGAAAAAGGAAAAAGACAACAAGAGAACATAACTAAGTGACATGAAGAAGCTTTCGTTGCGACAGGGGCGTTTGTTGGACCCCTAGCGGACCGCCTCGCATAGGAGGTCAGGCGTTCCCTGAATGTCGGACCCCACAACCATTCTATGTGCGGGTCCGGCGTTCCCAAAACGCCAGACCCCCTCAGCACATAGGGTGACACGGGGGTGCGCATTTGAACCCTCCCTTTCCCGCAGCGTCGAGGGAGTTCGTCGGACACCCTCCCTCTCCCGCAACGCCGAGGGGCTTCGGCGTTCCAGTAACCCCGGACCCTCGTTGGTGCTGCATGCAACATGATGTTCGCCGGACCCCCTTGGTGCCGCAGCACGGAAGGGAGTCCGTCCCGCCCCCTCGCTGGGCCGAAGCACCGAGGGGGTCCGACGTTCTCGGAACGCCGGACCCCCTGGGCGCAACGGGCAACATTGGGTTCGCCGTACCCCCTTCCCGTCCCACAGCACTGAGGGGTTCCAGCGTTCCGAGAACGCCAGAACCCCTGGGCGTTGCGGGCAACATGGGGTTCGCCGGACCCCTTCCTATCCCGCAGCGCCCAGGGGGTCCGGCGTTCTCGTAACGCCGGACCCCCTTGGTGCTGTGGGGGAGGAAGGGAGTCCGTCCCGTCTCGTCGCTGGGCCGCAGCACTGAGGGGGTCCAGCGTTTCCGGAACGCCGGACCCCCTTGGTGCTGCGGGGAACATGGGGTTCGTCGGACCCCCTCCCTATCCCGCAGCGCCCAGGGGGTCCGGCGTTCCCGGAACTCCAGACCCCCTTGGTGCCGCAGCACTAAAGGGAGTCCGTCCCGCCCCCTCGCTGGGCCGCAGCACCGAGGGGGTCCGACGTTCCGAGAACGCCGGACCCCCTGGGCGCAGCGGGCAACATGGGGTTCGTCGGACCCCCTTCTTGTCCCGCAGCATCGAGGGGGTCCGGCGTTCCGAGAACGCCAAACCCCCTGGGCGCTGCGGGCAACATGGGGTTCGCTGGACCCCCTCCCTATCCCGCAGCGCCCAGGGGGTCCGGCGTTCTCGGAACGCTGGACCCCCTTGGTCGTGCGGGGGAGGAAGGGAGTCCGTCCCGTCCCGTCGCAGGGCCGCAGCACCGAGGGGTCCGGCGTTCCCGGAACGCCGACCCCTTGGTGCTGCAGGGGAGGAAGGGGGTCCGTCGAGCCTCCTTCTCTCTTTCTCTCTCTCTCTCTGTGTCTCTCCCTCTCTCTCTCTCTCTCTCTCTCTCTCTCACACACACACACACGCACACACACACGAAAAAAAACTAGTACGTTGAGCACAAAAACTATTCCGCGACCAAAGAATCAATCAATCAATAAATCTTTTCTCCAATCAATCAATCAATCAATAAACCGCTCAATCAAGCAATCGATCAATGCAATCGCAATCCAGACTGACTGATTGATTGACTGATTGTTTGACTGGTTGGTTGATTGATTAATTGGTTGATTCTTTGGTTGATTCTTTGGTTGATTCTTTGGTTGATTCCGCGACCAAAGAATAATTCAACCACACACATGCACACACACACACAAACGCGAGAAAAAAAAAAGCCAAAAAACTTTTCAGCGACCAAAAAAACAAACGCGGCAATGAGATAAAACAAAATAAAAACTGCGAAGAAGATCCGCCCTTCGTGTTCTGGTCTCCATCTCTTTCTCTCTCTCTCTCTCTGTCTCTCTCTCTCTCTCACACATACACACACACACGCGCGTGTGAAAAAAAAAAATAACGCAAAAAAAAACATTCCGCGACCTAAGAATCAATCAATCAAAGAATCGTTTCTCAATCAATCAATCAATCAATTAATCAATCATTGAATAAACCGCTCAATCAATGAATCAATCATTGCAATCACAATCCAGACTGACTGATTGATTGACTGATTGTTTGATTGGTTGGTCGATTGATTGATTGGTTGATTGATCAACCAAAGATGTGTGAGATCGAATTTATCTTTTCTCCATTAATAATAACAAACTCTTTTGTTTGTCAATATAAGTATATCTTTTTTTGCTGTTTTTTTTAACACGCAAGTTGCCAAAATAAAAAGATCGCGCCCAAAGAAAGCGAAAAAAAAAACAACGCACACACACACACACACACA